TAGCTATAATTATTAAAGAACATTATTGAGCCGTTATTACCAAACTCCTCTTTACAAATGCTTAATTTCCCTTTTACTTAAGGGGCTTTGCGTCTGTGAAACGATTCAGGTCTGGGAGTCCAAAGAGATGCCTGCATTCTTTAACATTGGGGACTATCTATAGTCATTACTTAGTTACTCACTTACTCTTTAAGTAACAGAAACCTAAAATAACAGAGATTTAAACAAGATAGAAGTTTATTTCTCCTGTGACAGTCCAGATATAGACTGTTCAGGGCTGGTAGGGTGTCTCTATTTCACAAGGCCATCCAGGGACCTAGGCTCCTTTTTGGCTTGTTTTCTCACCATCACTGGAATATTACCCTGGCCCATTCTAAAATGTTCATAACCGCTTCTGTATTCTGAGCAGCAAGATGGAGAAAGAGGAGGAAGGGTGTAACCCCTACCTTTAAAGACATAACCTGGAAATTATACATCTTACTTTCACTCGCATCCTATTTGTTGGAGCTTAGTCACATGACCATACCTAGCTGCAAGGGAGGCTGGGAAACAGTGTTTGTTTTTGGTAGCTGTGAGTTCTCCTAAAACTCAGAGGTCCTATTTCTATGGGAGAGAAGGGGAAAATAGATATTGGGAAACAATCTGTAGTCTGCCTCAATAACTCAAGTCAAGCTTCTATTCACCATTTTTTACCCTTTAAAAATACTAATCTGGGGCCCCTGGGCGGCTCAGTCCATTGAGCATATGATTTCAGCTCAGGTCATGATCTTACAGTTCATAGGTTCGAGCCCTGCATCATGCTCTGTGATGACAGCTCAGAGCCTGGAGCCTGCTTTGGATTCTGTGTCTCCCTCTTTCTCTACCCCTCCCCAGCTTGTGCTCTGCCTGTCTCTCTCTCTCTCAAAAATATATAAACATTTTTAAAAAATGAACAAGTGACACCTTAGTGGGCTATTTTAGTTCCAGGCACTTAATTAGAAGAAGCAAAAATAATTATAATGATCAGGGAACTTTGTTGATAGGGTACCTTTCAGCTCTGCTGACTACTATGTTACTCACATTTGCCTCTGCTACTTAAGCATTTCTGTTTAAAGCACAGAGTTCATTTTCTTTGAAACAGAGACCCACTCACCATCTTTCAGCAGCATCTCTAACCTGTAGAGAATATCTTACTAAAGTGCTTTTTGGTGCCTTTTTTTTTTTTTTTTTTTTTTTTTGTATCTCTGTTATTTCCTTCACCAAAGTATTTTTCAAGTTCTTTGTGAATAAAACATCTGGGACCATTTCCAGGGATATAATATGTGGGTGGTCAAGTTGCAAAGGATAAATCTTCTTTAATGTTCCTATCTTCATAAATCTTCAGATTTCATTCTCTCTCTTTTTTAAAAATGTTTTATTTATTTATTGGGGGTGGGGGGAGCCGGAAAGGAGCACACAGAGAGAGGGAAACAGAGACTCCAAAGTAGGCTGCAGGCTTTGAGGAATCAGTGCAGAGTCTCCAGCTGATGAACCGTGAGATCATGACCTGAGCCGAAGCCAGACACCTGACTGACTGAGCCACCCAGGTGCCTCCAGATTCCTTTCTTTTTAAAAGTTTATTTATTCATTTTGAGAGAGCGTGCGGGGGAGGGACAGAGGTGGGGGAGAGAGAGAATCCCAAGCAGGCTCCACACTGGTAGCACAGAGCCTGATGTGGGGCTCCAACTCATGAACTGTAAGATCATAACCTGAGCTGAAATCAAGAGTCAAGACACTTAACAAACTGAGCCACCCAGGCGCCCCTCTTGAGGTTCCTTGGAGGTTATACTACTTGTGACATTGTAGCCTTAGATCAATCTGAATTTAAAGATGTATGTGTACTTATCAAAGATCCTGAAGTTGGTGTTCTAGTTTGGGCAGCTGGGAATCAACTATGTGTTCCTTCAAACAGAACCACTCCCCCAAATTAGCATGCTGAGATTTGATGTATCTAAAGAAAATGTTGGGTAGGAAGGGTAGAACATGAGGACAAATGGTGCCCTCTTGCAAGGTGACTCCAGAAGAAGTAACTTCATGAGTCAGGGGAAGGTCACTGCTAGACAGCAGGAGGAGCTGCTTCAGCTGGTAAGGGGCGCTTAGTGCTAGTTGGAGGATTCCTCTGAACGTCTCTTCTATAGCCCCATTCCGGTTCCTGGGATTCTCTCTTTTCATAATTGAATGTCCTATTTTTATAAGACTACACTTTATCTAACATTATAGTTTAAGAACCATTAGGATCAAATTCTGAGATTGGCTTTCATTTACATCAGCCCTGTTGCTACAAGAAATAAGGTATATTTTCCAGCAACAATAGAAAGTCCATGGGTTGAAGTCAATACTTTAAGCTGATAATTTAGGGCTTGGACTTGTTATCCAATTTGTATAAGCTGTTCTGTGGTTTTAGAAACAGGTACTCTGTTCCCTGTGGTCTCCTAACGCCTGTCCTCAGTGAACACTTCATTCTAGGTGACCACAAGCAATAATTTAATTAGAGGGTTTGTGCTGTGTGGCATAGGCTACTGAATTCCCATTCCTGAATCCCAGTAGACCTATAGCCCTAACTAGGCCAAATAGCTGATCCCTGTTCCCCCCATTCCCCTTATGACCTCTCACCTGTCATCATTTGTCTGGTACCAATATCTGGTTAGTGCTCTTGGCAGCAAGCTTAAAAATTAAGTTTGGCTACCTTACAGATAAAAGAATAAAGAGAGTTTTTTGGAAAGATTTGGGTAGCTCATAGAATCCACATAAATGCCAAAGCGCCAGTGTGCAAGAACCAGGAAGGCAGGAAATACAGCCAAGGTCAAACCACCAGAACACTTGGCTGGGAGTCCCCACTGAGTACTGGTGTCTCTGCCACTAAGCACTCAGCGCTGCTGGTGTTGTGTTCCCACTCCCCAGTGTCCCCACTTTGAATAACTTTCCACCTGTCCTTACATCTTGGAGTCATCCTGGGTAGGAGCATTAATTGGCTTAACTTGGGTTATGTGCCCACAGGCTGGCAGATAGTGGGGTGGAGAGAGAAAGCTCTGGTCCCTTTGCTTCTGTAGTGGCAGATGAAATTGTGCCTTCCTCCAAGTCACACACAAAGGGGGGGTTTCTCCCAAACTGGAGTGTGTCCGGATGTGGAATGGCCAATCACACATACACACACAGCTGTTCACTGTAGTTGGGAACTTCCTGGCTCTCCTCTGTACAGCCAAGAACCCCTCTCCAACTTCAGCCTGTCCTTGCATTTAATCTGTGCTACTGACAAACCCCAGGCTCGGAGCCACATCACCATCTCCTGCTTTCTCTTTCACCAGGCCAGAGAGCACAGTTGGAGGACCAGCCCTTGTTGAGTCTCCCCAAGGCTTAGAAATCCTTTTATGTTAGGGGTTCCTGGGTATCTCTGAGCTCTAAGAGTCAGTAAGCATCTGACTCTTGATTTCAGCTCAGGTCAGGATCTCATGGTCATGATCTCACAGCCCTGTGGAGTCCAGTGTCATCTTGAGCTTAAGATTCTCTCTCCCTTTCCCTCTGCCCCTCCCTACTCTCACTGTCTCACATGTGTTCTCTCTCAAGAAAGAGAGAGAGAGAGAGAGAGAGATAGAGAGAGAGAGAAAGAAAGAAAGAAAGAAAGAAAGAAAGAAAGAAAGAAAGAAAGAAAAAAAGAAAAATAAATCCTTTTATGTTCATAAGATATCATACTATTCACCTCTGAAAAATAAAATTCTTTTCATATGTGGCTCAAACTAACAATAATTCTTTAATTGCATAAAATATCCATCCCACATTTAAACTGTTCCCCAAATCTTGTGAAGGTAATCTTTCTGTAAGGAAAATATGGTTATATCACTTCCCGCACTAAATTATTTTAACATATCAATATTGTCACATAATGTAAATGCGAACAGTACAAAGTGGTTGGGGTAAGACAGAAGAGTGCCCCTCTTCCTCCACTCTTTCTCTTCTCTCCTTTCCATCCAGTCCATCTCCCCACAAGTATCAAGGGTTGATTTCATGTGTTTTCTTCCAGTAAGTTTCCAGACATTCACATGCAAGCAGGTGCATATATAGATGCATCCCTAACACAGAATACAAAGGGATCACACCCTACACACTCTCCTGTGACTTGCTTTGTTCCTTTGAAAACCTTTCTTGGACATCTTTCCATGTCAGTAAAAATAAAAGTCCTTCAGCGGTTCCTGTCTCCCTCTCTCACTGGAGTGCCATCTCTACCAAGTAGCATGTAGTTCCCTGAGTGCACCACACTCCCTCATACCTTAGTGGCCATGTGCATGTCATTTCCTCTGTCTGGAATGTCTTCTTTCTGGGGATCCAATAAGTTCTTACCCTCTCCAAAGCCTCCCCTGCCCTTGGGAAAGAATTGGGCTTTCTTCCCAGTTCCCAAAATGCCCTTGGTATTCTTCTCTCATCACACTCACCATGTGAGATTTCTTTGTCTTCTTTTCCCGTGATACTACAAGCTCAGAGGCTACCCTCAGAGTCATAACCAACTCTTAGTCTCAGGGCTGAGTCAGAAGTGGTGCTTAAGAAATAGTAATTACTGAGCTCCTTCTTCCATCCACAGAGATCAAGAACATCTTATGGTAATAGAAATACCCTATTTCTATTACAGAGACACTGCCCTCCCCACATGTTTCAGTCAGTTGGATACTAGGGGGACAGGCCTGGAGAGGACGAAGGTTGAGATTCTGCAAAACTGGTTGGCATTGAAGGGGATTCTCTGAGTGACCATAAGCCAAGACTCCTCTGTTTCGGGGCTCTTTTGAGGCCCTTCTAACTGGGACCTATTGTGTGAAGGCAAAAATTTTGGTAAGAGTAGTTGGGGACATATGTAACAATGGCCTCAAGCCCACCAGCCTGACCTTGGCATTTCAGGGGCAGGCAGAGTGAGAATTCCTGAACAATGCTTCTATCAAGACAACAAAGCCACGTTTGACTAAAACAAATAAGACATTTTTATAGTGGGTGGGATAGGGAGGGTCCTTCTTCCCTGAGATAATTAGGCTGAGGCTAAGATGAAAAGGGATCATAGGTATGGGCTAGCTGGGTTGAGTCCATTGAATTTCTGGGAGGGACAATGGAGTTCCATCCAAGCCACCTGCATGGAAGGTGTGGTAGACACTATGAGTTTGCCCATCATACATTCATCCAACCATCTTCTAGTGTGCTTTCCTCTCACATGGTTGCAATCAAGGTATCATCTGGGGCTGCAGTCTCACTGGAAGAAGTGACTGGGGAGGGCTCTACTTCCAAGTTCATTTACATGGTTGCTTGCAGAAGTCAGTTCCTTATGGGCTATGGGACTGAGGACTGAAGACTTTAGTTTCTCAATGCCTGTAGGCTGGTAGCTTCCCTTAGTTCCTTGTCATGTGAGTCTCTCCATAGGGCAGCAAACAACATGGCAGCTGACTTCATCAGAACAAGTAAGGAAGAGAGCCTGAGAGAGCAAGCAAGATGGAATCCACAGTCTTTTAATAACCTAACCTCAGAAATGACATTCCCTCACTTTTGGCACATTCTATTCTTTAGAAGCAAATCTGTGGGTACAGCCCACACCCAAGGGAAGGTCATTCTGCAAGGGGAGAGAGATTACATAGCAAGCAGGGATCAGTGGGGACCATCACAGAGACTGCCTACTGCTTGTAAAGGCCCCCAGTACCAGGACGAACATCTTTATCCTCTCACCTGTGTCCCCACTTTCTCCCCCTATGACCATGGCCATATAAGGCAAGCATCCCCATAGTCCTGGATGCCTCTCCCAAGTGAGGATCCAGGACAGCCGCAGAAGGACTTTGGTCTCAGAAGACATGGACCCAGAACTTGGGTGTCCCAGATGATAGAGCAGGTAGATATATTTGGCATGGCCAATGTCACTGGTTAGCAGACAGACTGGGTGTAGAGTAGAACTAGGGAGGACCAGACTGGGGCCTAGAGGCACTGGCTCTCCTGGGGCTGGTCAGATGCACAAGGCTACAACCAGGCCATAAGTCCAGCTTAGAGTCTTTCCCAAATAGGGAGGGGTTGCTTGGATGGGTCTTCTTAAGGGCCAGCCCTGCCCAACTTGGCTATATTTGGGCCCCACTTACCTGGGTGGTGGTTTGAGCATCACTATCTTAGTTGCAAAGAAAAGGGTGTCCAGGGACCAGCAGAGGTCTGTGAACCTCAAGAATGAAGAAAGTATAGTCTTTGTAATTTCCCCCTAAGCATGACCTCAGTCCATTTTGGTGGACCTATTTTTTTCCCATCTCTGATCCTTCCTTCCTTTTTGTTTTTGTTCCCCAACTCCCATTTCTCCAACTCCATCTTTTCTCTCAATTTTACACCCTAAAGCCTAGGGCACAGGACACCCCTAAAATTGAGCCTCTACTCTCTACTAGGGCATGGCAAAATTTGGGAGGACTCTTCTCCCCTGCCTTTACCACCCAAGGCAAAGGAGGGGTTTGGAGAGTACTCAAGTGAGCGCCGGAAGACCCAAGACACTAGCAATCCTGGGTCTTCCTACACTACTTCCACAGAAACCCACAAGAGGGCGCTCTCCATTCTGCACCTATAGTCTCCAACCAACTTCCCTGAACACTACCCAAACGGAGACTGGACAAATGGGACAGAAAACTGTCACATACAGGAAGACTTAGAAGGGCATGGTTGGAGTATGAAGAAAAGTGTGGTCCACATGAGTCCCAGCATCCTTCCAGGAGCTTGAAGAAGGTCAGTCCTCAGACCACTTGTCAGCCTCAGGTTTCAAAAGGCAGAATGGCCAGTACTTCTTCCAAGCTCCACTCCCCGTCTCTGCCAATGTGCAACACTCCTCCGGGAGGGGACCAGGTACTACTCATCTTGGTGTCCTCAGGGCCTAGAGGAATGAATGATGCAACAAACACATGAGCAAACAATCAAAGCCTCTTAAGGCACGTTTGAGATGGCATGTGTACAGACATATTCACTGGAGCATTATTTGGGATCTCACAAAAAGGAAACAAATTCACTGCCCATCAGTAGAGGACTGAGTGTGAGTGTAATAGTGTGCATCCATGAGAAGAATGAGACCGCTCTAAATACATGGGCGTGGAGCAAACTCAAGGGATAGTGTCAGGTGTGGAGAACAAGATGTAGAACACAGCACAGGCCAGGCTACCCTCCAAGTGTGCTCTGTGGGGAGAGAATAGTATGTTTGAATATGCATAGGAAAGCTCAGGAAAGATGTCCAAGGAGATTAGCTCTGGCTCTCTGGAGAGAGCAACGGAATACCTGACCTAGAGGGTGGAAGGAAGGCTGACTTGTCACTGTTTGCAGCTGTTTGGATTTTGTACAGTGTGAGTAAAGTATTTATTCAAAACAAAGTGTAAGCACACACACTTGGAGCCACACACTTGGATCGCCCTCCTCGTTCTGCCAATTACCTGCTGTGTGATTGTGAGCACGTTACAGTAGTCTTTGAGGATCAGTTTCTTCATCTGTAAAAAGAGTGTGTTGGAAGTCTGCCCAGTGCTCTGAGAATTGCCAAAGGTGTTTCTGTGGCACATTTGGGGAGCCCAAGGGTTTGCTGACGGCACTGCCATTTGTAGCACTACACACAGATGACGAATGAGCACACACCTCTGACCGGGACAGGCTGAAGTCTTGTGAGAGATCGACAGTGTGATCCTTGACTCCACTGATCTTGATCAGAGACCAGTTGAAGTGCCCTCTCAGGGTTCACCTGCCAGGAGACATTATCTATTGGATTCTCTTGTTCCACTTCAATAACCATGGCCAGGACCAACCTTCAGGGACTCTGTCTCAACACCAGAAGATCATGTCATAAAATCCCTCCCTTGCTTCCTCTATCCTGGTATCTTACCCGTGAAAGAATGGTGCTAAAACAAAGGAACAAACGTAACATGTAGTCATCTGGGGTTTTGCAAAGATAAGTGCTAGAAACTTCCCGGTTAATGGCCTTCAGAGACATTCTCTCTAAAGTGGGTGCCAGCTTGGGGCACTGCAGAACTGCACCCCGGTGTCCAGGCTATGCATACCGGGAATACCGTCATTCATCATTTTTTTTTTCATTTGACAAAAATTAATTCAGTTCCTTCGCTCTGCCATGGTTGTAAAGGAGAATAAGCTGCCTGAGGAAGTTACGACCCGCTGGTGAAGGTACACGATTAGACAAACCAATAATAGTAAAACGCATACCAAGCATCAGAGAGACAGCCAGGCTTTCTAGAGGTAGCAGGCAGAGGTACAGGACCCAGGGGCAGGGGTCAGCCGACTCCTCTGGGAGGAAGCGAGGATAGAGTGAGCGCAGGTGCTAGTGAAGAGAAGCAGTTCTGTGCCAGCTGTTGTGAAGGTGCGGTAGTGGATGTAAATGGCTAGCGAAGGACCCAACACACTGTAAGTGTTCCATCAGCTCCGGGAAGCACAGGAAGAAATTTCCCCAGATGCCCAGGCCTGAGCGCAGGGCTGTCATCACCCTGAAGTGCCACAAGGCGGAGCTCACCACTTGTTAACAGTGCGTTCTGGGTCCTGTCCCTCCAGTTACAGTGCGGCTGGCCTCCCCTGACCCAGAGGCTGGTTATTTCCACCTTGCAAAGCTATTGACAGACCGCCCGCACACACGCAGACACTGCAGCCGCTGCTAAGCGTGGGGCTCCTGACAGCCCTGTCCTAGTGTTTTCTCTTAAAGTCCAGGATTTGTTCCTCTGGACTCGCTCTCCCCACCTCAGAATAGCTCCGAGTCCCAAAAATAGCCACCAGTTCTGTTTTTTCCACCCTTCCTGGTTTTTCCCACCCACACGAAGCATCCACGGAGCCTGGCCTTAGAGCAGCATGGAGGAGGGCGAGGCACTGGCCGCGGCACCTCTGGGCCACATAGGCCAGCAGAACTTCAGCTCCTGCAAAGACCCCAGTCCCTCTACAGAGGGGATGAAAAGGTATTTTCCCACAGGTCTCCTTCCAGAGTTAGAAATGCACTTGGTTTTGAGCCCCCCTTCCACCCCTGTCCCTACCCTGATGGCTCCTGGAGAGGATTGGATGGCTCCGTGCTCTGGAGTGAGACAGATCTGTTGCCCTGAACTCACTCTGCTGGTGACCTTGGGCAAGTTACATCACCTCCATGGTCATCTTCCATGAAATAGAGATTAAAAGAAGATCTAACATTTTACTTTATGGGATATTGAGGGATCAGTTGTTCTGGGAAAAGGGAATATCCACAAGTCATTTGATTCCTTTTCTCCCCTCACCCAGGGAACATCTTTAAACACACAACTGAAATTGACATACAGGAAAAGAAAAAGAAAAGAAAAGAAAGAAACTGACATACAGGTAACTTCTGAAAAGAAGGGGCGGCTCCCTGACAGATGGCTTCAAGCCAAAGAGGTGAACCTGGGTTCAGGTGAGGGCTGGCAGGAAATCAGCACTCTCCCTTTTTAACTCTCTCCCAACAGGACTCTGGCTGAAGTTGGGGACTGACAAGCACAGGATCTGACAGGGTCAGGAAAAGGACAGCAGAAGGGTTTCCAGGCAGAGGAATCACTTGGATGGACTTCATGGGTCTGTTCCTGGGGTTCTATCTGTCCTCTCAAGCAGATATAGGTTCCTATGGGGGCACCTGGGTGGCTTGGTTAAGCGTCTAACTTCGGCTCAGGTCATGACCTCACAGCCTGCGAGTTTGAGCCCCGCATCGGGCTCTGTGCTGACAGCTCAGAGCCTGGAGCCTCCTTCAGATTCTATCTCCCTCTCTCACTGATCCTCTCTTGCTGGTGCCTGTGCCCAGCTCAGTGCCTGGCCCATAGAGGGCAGCCTTCTGGGGTCAAGAGTGACCAGAGCCTTCATCCCTTGGCATCATTGGTTTTGTCAGGACTCATTACAGCCAAACAACGATTTAGCCACTTTTGGAAGATGAGAGGCCATCCCAAAGGGCCCCACACAAACTGCAGTTTGCTTCTCGGTGAAACTGAGCTGGACCACACTGAAGGTTTTGGAACTGTGTTTTTCAGAACCCCTCAGAGACAAGGAGGCAGGAACCTTGTGTGGCAAGGTTAGGCAACAAATGTTCAACCCCCCTGTCTCCGTTTCACTGGAGAAGCTCAAAAAGAGGTCCTGTTTTTCAATGAGATGTAAAGAACAATAAAGGAAAATCCACACAACTTATTTGTGCAATTTAACAGTTATAAAATGAACACCCCATAATGCGTGTCAAGAAATGGAACGTTGCCTGCACCCCAGGATCCACCTGAATGGCCTTCTGCTTGCCATCTTAGAGGCCCCAGACTTGATTTTAAGGGAGCCAACAACCTGGCACAAGCTGTAGTTTGTATGTGCGGCGGGGAATGGAGTGTCTGTTTTGGCTGGGGTGGGCCTCCCATGCAGAGTTCAATTAACCACACTCCCCGACTGTGCAGCAGGATCATGGGCTCATACAGGGCCTTCTCTTGTTTTCTATGCTTAGTTTTCTTCCCTTCATCTCCATCACTGCTCATATTACCCCCTTCCCCCAAAGACACTTAATATATTGTATTTGGGTTATGTCCTTTGGTATGTATGTATCTGTGAAAAATACATTGTTTCTTGTATACGTATGCATTTTAGATCTCTTTCTTGCCCTTACTTTTTTCATGTTGTTCTCTATATCTCAAACCCATTGCTTCTAACTGCTCCCCATTTCCTCCACAGAATGCATCTATCCATCACGTTTACTTCTCCTAATGATGGATACTTAGTATGCAGAAAATTACTCTGTTGTAGCAAACAGCACTCACATGTCCCCTCACATGCCAGGCACGTGGCCAGGAGATAAGGCGAGGCAAGGCGAGCAGGCTCAGGGTTGGCTAGTTTAAACAATTTCAGCGGGCTCTTGGGTGTAGAGGCTGTCCCTAGTTGCCTGGTACCTGGCCCAGGGTGTTTAGAGCGAGGAAATACGAGCGGCCTGGAGTGGCAGGAACTGGCTAGAAGAGGTAGCGGGGTGTGGGCTCTGGACTGGTTAGTTTATATGTGAAAATTATGCTCGCAGGTGAATCCTTTATTATCTCTAGGAACTGGCTGGCCCTTAGGGGTCAGTCTCCCCAGGGTTAGCAAGGCCTCAGATATGAAGCATTAGAAATTAAAAGATGTGCTTAACACAATGGGCTTGGTAGAACTTAGCTATAAAGCCAATGGAGCTGAGAAAAAAAATTTAATTTTTAAAAAAATGTTTATTTTGAGAGAGAAACAGAGAACGTAGGCAGAGGAGGGATAGAGAGAAACATAAAATCCAAATAAGGCTCCAGGCTCTGGGCTATCAACCCACAAACCGTAAGATCATGACCTGAGCTAAAGTCAGATGCTTAACTGACTGAGCCACCCAGGCATCCTTTTTAAAAAAAATTTTTTTTGAGAAAAAATTTTTAAAGGAGATCATTTAAATTATTTTCCTGGTTGCTGGCTTATTTTCTATTTCTTCTTGTTCAAAGTTTGATGATTTACATATTTCATTAAACATTCATTTCTTACAGACCCTTGGGCTTCTGGATGCTCAAGTAGTGACTTTCTGTGATCCTCCAACTCCTCTTTGTGACCTTTACTTCTCTTGCTCCCTTAATAATTGGGTAAAATCTAATACCTGTAATAAATCATTGATTCCATAATATAATGGTTCTGCTTCCCTGACAAACCCTTGTAGGTAACTTCCCCGCAGACTTCATGAGGCAGAATTTCTGCACCAACCCCCTCCTCTCTAGTTCTGGGCTTTACCATGAGAGAGGGAAGAAAATTGCTTACGTGTTTGAACTATTGTTACTTTGTGGGTTTTTTTAAAAGATATATATATTTTTTGATGTTCATTTATTTTTG